TCTTGATTCCTGGTACCAAAAAAAAAAAAAAAGGGATTTGTCATCCACCACCAGAAAGTGAGAAGAGGTGAGGTAGGATTACTCAGGGTCTCAAAGGGAGCACACCCTGCCAATACCTTGATTTTAGATTTCTACCCTTGAGAACTGTGAGACAAAATATTAATTATAACCAGTTGTTGTTTTGAGCCATCTAATTTTTGGTACTTTGTTATATCTGCTTTAGCAGACGAATATATCTACTTTTTACTGGGAATAGCACAAGAATAATAGAAAATGTAAAAGATATGTTTAACATATTTATTCATTCATTCAACAAAGTGTGTCTTCTCTTCCCTGTAGGTACCAGTAATAGAAACTGGGTCCTCACATATGCTGGGCCAACACCCTACCTCTGAGCTCCATCCCCAGCCCCATTTAGTGAATCTTGGCTCAACATTTGCCAAAGGTGAAGTTCTGCAGTGAAGCCTATAGGAGATGTCAAGGTAAGGAATAAGGGACCCATCCACAGGAAACTTCTATTTTACTAGCTGGTGGAGTAGGTGATGCAGATAGATAATGGAAGTACAGAATTTGATCTCTGTCATACAATGGATTCAGAGTCCTCTAAGAATCCATAAGAAGAGAGGTTTATACCTAGCAGCAAGAATAAAGCAAATGTCATAAAGGAAGTGGCATTTGAGCGACCTAGAAGCAAGAGAGGAATTTTCACACATGGAGATAGACGAAAAGGCTTGCTTGCAGAATTCAAAGTTTAAGCAAACGCTCAGGGCCAAACAATATCCAAGCTGGCTAAAATGTAAGAGGTATGCGAGGGGGAGGGAAGGAGAAGGTCATTAGGTGTTAGAGACAGCCTGCAGACACTGAAGGGCATTCTAAGGGGTATGAATTGTATTATTCCAAAGGCCACCGAGAACCACAGCAAGACTTTCGAGTAAAGAATTCATAAGGTTACAAGGCTTTACTTATACTTGCAACATTATGTGTTGGTATTCTATGCTAAAGGGCTTAACATTAACACTCTACTGATAAAGACACCAACAGAAACAATCTCTAATCTCAATAGTAAAGTAAAACTCCAATTCACCCTTAAGAGTTTGGGTAGGTCGTAAAGTTTAGCTTCTGTTTTCACAAGTCTGCCTTGTCCAATATGAATAAAGTCCACGTATTTTTAGTTTTCAAACAATTTATTGTATTAATTAAATCTCTAAAGATGACATGTAAGCAAATATAAGCTTTGGATTTTAAAACAGATGTAGAACCATAAGCACATCTATAACACTTTGTATAACAATTATTGTACTAATTTTAGACTCAAAAGATGTTTCCTCCGGAATAAAGCAGATTATTGCAAAGAGTACACAGTAGCAGTTCCACAAAGAAGGAAAAACCATACTAAGGAAATACTGTGTTGCGTCTGCTCTGTGATTCCCCTTGTTGATGTTAAACAGGAAACACACAAAAGTTTATCACATGATGTTCTCAGTTATGGCATTAATGTCACACTTGACCAGCAGCCTAATGATCTGTTTGCAGGCCATGTTTTCCCTGTATACCTGGCACTTAGCACAGGGATGGAAAAATGTCAGAGAAAGAAATATTGTAAAGAAACTTCTATGAACAAAAGATTTGTTTCGTATTGTCATTGTAAAAGTATACTCTTCAAAAAGAAAAGCAAAACTAATCTCTAAGCTACAGCCAAATGCCCTTGCTATCTATATTCTTAGAATACATAAAGGTAAATATTTCAGAAACACAGTATCAAGATGAGTTGTGACTCCCACTATCAATTACTGGCACCTAGGGGGAAGAGAAAACACACTTTTGAATGAATGAATAAATACGTTAAACCTACCTTTTACATTTACATTATTCTTGTGCTATTCCCATTGAGAAGTAGGTATGTTTATCTGCTAGAGCAGAATAACTAAGTACCAAAAACTAGATGGCTTAAAACAACAGCTGGTTCTTATTATTGATATTCTTCACCTAGCCTGATTCTTCGCTAATGTGCCAGGCACCATTCTAGGTGCTCAGAAAGCAAAAAAAGGTAATCAAGTAAGAAGAGAAAAAAGAAAAGAAGAAGTAAGAGGGGACAGCGAAAGAAAGGTGACACTGGGAAAGAATTAGCTCCCAGTATTGGTATCTGGGGCTTATTTGAGGAAACACTCAACAGCAAATAACGGAAAGTATGAAGGAGATCTAGACGGACCAAGAGGAGCAAATGGGAGCAAAGAGATCTGGATGAGAACAGGTGATGGGGAAAGTGATGTGGTCACAGCAGCACAGATGTCAGAGGGAGGTGAGAGTGACCAGCCAGGAATGAGGAAGACGGAGGGACGATAAGCAGGAGAGCCGCGGACCACAGGAAGTGGGGTTTATAATGGGACCCTAGACATGGAGGAGACGAATGATGAGAGGGTGTAGATGGCGTACAGGAGACCTGGGAAGCAACACGGGTGTGGCACGAGGGTGCTAACGCGAGCTGGGACCAGGGCTGGCTTCAGGGACCTAGACAGCTGTGCTGGGCTCCAGGCTCAGAGACATCCCACCCTTGATCAATGCACTGTTGTCACGGTGGAAAAGTCGTAATGACTTTTGAGTAACAAGCTTTGCGTTTTCATTTTGCGCCGGGCCTGGAAAACTGTGTAGCTGATCCTGGCTGCAGTCTTCCCTGTTAAGGGTAAGGTGAGGGAGGGCTCTGATGAGGTAATGAACTTGGGTAGGGACCTGTGGATGAGGACTGTAAAGGGCAAGTGATGTCAGTGGCTTGAGGCTGTTGAGGTTATAGGTAGGAGGGCTAGTGGACAGGCAGAGGATCCCGAAAGCTTGCAGAAATGGCCCCTCGTCTGTGAGGCTAGGGGTGGGGTGTACTATAATAAGGGAGAGAGGACTGGAGGCTAGGAGGTGGATGTGACAGGGGTTGAGTCTCAATAGGAGAAGGACGAGAAGGAGAGGTCCAGTGAGAGGCGACAGACAGGGGCGCTGACTCCTGACCTCGGCCATCCTGATGCTTTTTGGGGCCGGCCTCAAGCGCTGCTGTGTAGATCGCAGAAACTGGGCGAGAGTCTGGGGCGGGGGTTGTGCACGTTATCTTTGCCAGCCCAAACCAGAAACCCGCTCAGAGCGTCCTCCCGTCACCTGGCAACGGCCACGCCCCCTGAGTCACTAGCGGCGTTCGAAAAGGGAGGGGGCGCCACTTGATTGGTGTTCCTGGGAGAAATATGCAAATAGCATGACCGGACCAATGAGATGAAGGGGAGGGACTCCTGTGAGGCCTGGAGGTTTCCCCAGATATTTGCAGAAGTTAGAGACAGGGAAGACAAAGGCCCTGTCTGGACTTCAGGTACAAAGAGCTCACCTAATTAAATTCTTTCATTCATAAAATGTGCAGGACCCCTCCCTGGCTTTATTTTTTTCTCTTCATCCGCATCACTATTCCCAACTTTCATCCTGGGTCCCAAAGACATTCATGCCACAGTGGTTGGCTACATACTTTAAAAACACATAGGGGCTGGGGATTTAGCTTAGCGGCACAGCGCCTGCCCCCCAAGCGCAAGGTCATGAGTTCGATTCCTAGTACTGGAAAAAATAAATAAATAAATAAATAATAATGTATAGCATGTGTATCAACATATTTTTAAAAATAGGTGACGGTGTTTGACGTTAGAAATCGTATTATGTTCTACTTTTTTCATAGCCGGCATTCTTTTTAAGGCTCTGTCTTTGTAACCTTAGCTCATTGCTTTGATTGCTACACAGCATTTCAAATGGAAAATTTGCCACATTTTATTTCCACTAGCCAAGCGTTAGCTGAAAGACTCCTTCCAATTCTCCAGTACTGTACTGTAAACAATGTAGCCATGATCATTTTTGTCTGTGGCTCATTTTATGGACCCAAGGACAGATTCCTCTAAAATACATGCCTAGGAAGAGTCACAGACTTTTGCATTCACAGTCTGGCATTGGGGAGAAGGCAGGAAGGAACATCCACCATTAATCCTAACACAATATGATAGTATTCAGTCCATACCATGTCAGCCAAAAGCACTATGGGAGCTCAGGGATCTAGACATTGATAGCTCAGAGCATTATTTATGATATGCGGGCAGAAAAACCTCAACACAGGCACCCTGGAAACCACAGAGAGGTGGAAAGGCGCATGCTGTGTCCAGCTCAGAGGAATGAGATACAGCTGGACACCAACATGGATGTAAAAGAGTGGATGAAAGGATGAGGGTTCCGACAAACCAATTTATGCTGATGAAGGAAAGAAAATGCCTCATTTTCAGTTTTCCAATCACCACCCTGCTCCCCTGTGCTGTTTCAATAAAAGGAAGCACTAGGTGGCATCATACAGCCAGAAGTCCTCACCTTGCAGAGCCTCCGGGAGAAGCACACCCAAGACCGGCTCGGGCGCTGGTCCAGACAGGAGTGCTTCCACCGATCTCGTTTCTCATTGTGCTCGCTTACTTTATCTCTTGAACACTTGCTATGTGCCAAGCACTATGCTACAGACTATGAAGACAGAACACCAAAGGAGCTGAACACAGGATCTCCCTAAATGAGCGTAAGAAGAAGCACAGCATGCATGCTACCTATCACAAAAGAATTTTAAAGATAGTCAAAGGAAGAATGTAGTAAGCACTGAAATGAAGATCCCAGGTTACAGTGTCCCACGTAATCTGGCCCTTGACCTTAACCCTTTGAATGTGTTGTTCTTTCCCATTGCCTGAGATTTACAAATTACCCCCTTATTTAAACCTGGGTATAACACCTCTTTTCAGTACCCTTCTGGGGCTTCCAAGCTGTGCACTGTAATACAGTAGTAAGAACAATCATGTGTACCGGGTACCATTTCTTTAACAGCAGCCAGTGAGAAAACAAAGCAAACCTCCAGAAAAGCAGAAACACTGTATGCAGCCCTACATGCAAATTCCCAGCCTGCAGTGCAAAGCTACCATGCCCTAAGGGAACTTACACTTCTAATGCTTCACGTATCCTTAAGGCTATTCTGGGGAACCTACACAATCTAAGATCTCCAGAAAGACTAGTAACTTCTAAGAGGTAGGTGCCTCCCTAACTCAAATGCTCTAGTTATCCCTACCTACCTCCTCCAGGCCATAGCTGTATGAGTTAAGTGTGGAAACCTGGCCACACGAAGCCAATTTTAGCATGGGAGTGTATAAGGAGATCCAAGAATTGCGGGTCAGTCATTGCTGAGGCCCAGCATTGCTGTGCATGTGAATCCCAGGAGAGTCAGAGAAAGGCAAAATTCCTGGAAGGAAGAAAAATGCAATGAATGAGGGGTGGTCACAGACCAGTGAAAAGGAGGGAGAGCTGAGGAAGGGGCCTTCTGGGCTGCCGATGTCTCCTCAGTTCTGGTGTCAGGTCCCAAGGAAGAGCCGCGTTATCTGTTCTCTTGGGTTCTCCTAGATATTTGGTATTCCCCTAATAAAAATCATCTTATTTGCTTAGGCTAGATAAAGTGAGTTTTCACTGTGTATACCCCCCAAAAAAGTCCTGACCAATGGGAGTTTTGTGTGCATAGGCATTCTTAGGATATTGCTGGTTTACTCTCCAGAAATCCAAAAACTACATTTGCGACCCAAATGACATGGTGAAAACCACTCCAGGCATCATGCGTAGCATTCTTCCTCTGGGCTGTGGGAAGATTAAAAGCCTACGTGTTACAGAAAATTGTTATCATTTTTCAGCTGACCCTGTGGTCACCTTAGATGACAGAGCAGAGTCCCAGCTGGCGAGCACTCTCCACAGCTGTGTGGGGCATATTTTATTCCTTTAATCTTCGCCTTTACCAGCCTGCTGCAGACCTAACTTAACAGAACATTTGTGGGGCATTTGACATCCTCTCCCAAAGGGTCTCCAGACAAACTCCCCTCCTGATACCTGAGGAGGCTGCAAAACTCAGGCAGATTTATTAGGAAGGTGGGAAGGTCAGACAGTAACAGCCAGGGAGCAGCCATTGCAGAGGATCATTTTTATCAGAACTGCGAAGTTTCATAACCACCTGGTCATCTCACCTGGCTGAGATTTTATTGGGCTTCTGCAGCTGCTCTTCTGCCATCAGATTCCTTCGTGATCCTTGATCTCCAGGCCAAGGCTGCAGTGTGATGTGCTACTAGGACCAGTGAGGACTCTCACAGACCAACGGCTGACCGGTTAAAAAGACAGAGCGGCTCCACAGTATCAGTTCCTACTACAAACCCAGAAATATGCGAACACATATTTTTCAAAATCCAAGTACACATAAGTGTGATGGTGGGAGAATGCTCTTATTTCTACAACCTCCTAAACACACTGTATTCTCTGTGCCTCCAGACCTTACATGTGCTGATCTCTGTCTTCTCCAATGTGCCTTACCTCTTTCAAGAGTCGGCTCAGTGTCTCCTCTTCCCAGAAGCCTCTCGGGTGGGCATCGCTCCTCTGGGCTGCTAGGAAACCTGAACTTGCCCCCATCAATTCACAGGGCTGTTCTTGTGGGTTCGTTTCTAAGTCTCCCCATCAGCCAGGGAGGACCAGACTTCTCTTCCATGCATCTGTGCAGTTGACCCATGAAAGTTGGCCGATGGGTGGGAAATGTATAAGCAATTAGCTGGGAAGTGCGTGAGCAATTAGCAATTAGCTTACACATTCATGCACAATTGTTCTTGGGAGGGATTAGTGACTAACGGAAGTTAGGGCTGCGTCATAGTTATTTTCTCATCCCCGAAATACAATGCCCAAGACACACAGTTCTAAAGACAAAAGGGTTATTTTGGCTCACAGTCTGTAGAGGTTTCAGTCTATTGTCAGCTGGCTCCAAAGCACGGCGGCATCACAGAGGGGCATCGCAGAGGAGCTTGCTCACGGCATGGCAGACAGGACACAGAGGGTGATCCAGGGAGGAGGGGGATAAACCCCTTCAGGCCACACCCCAGAGCCCCGCCCCTTCCTAGCTGTAATTTTAATTTTATTGGTTCATTTTAGACATACATAATAACCCCATTCATCATAGGGAAGCTGTGCCTGCACATGATACATAATGGTTCTTTTTTCCCCCATTTCTCTCCTCTTACTTCAACCTCTCTTCCCCTCCTTATTTACAAAAGCTTTGTTTCCATTTTTCCCTCCTATTCTCCTTCTTTCTTTCCCATTCCTTCCCTGCTCCCTCATTCCACTTCTCATTTCAACATTTTCTTCCTATCTCACAGTATCTAGTGCACATTTTGGTCCTTTTTTGTTTTGTTTTGTTTGCATTTTGAGACAGGGTCTCACCAGGTAGGCTAGGCTGGCCTTGAACTCACTATGTAGCCCAGGTTGACCTCGAACTCACGGTGATCCTCCTGCCTCAGCCTCTTGAGGGATTACAGACATGCACCACCATACCCAGCTTGTTCCTTATTCATACTTTCAGTTTCTCGCACCAGTAAAACAACCCAATATTTAAACATGTGTGACAATGTTTCACTTAAGAGTATGGTCCCAAGGTGCATCCATTTAGTTAGAAATGTCTCAAGTGTATCCTTCTTTATGACACAGTGGTACTCCACTATAAAAAAAAAATCACATCTTGTTTATCCATTCATTGGGTGATGCACATTAAGGCTGTTTCCAAGATTTAGCTATTCAAAATTGTGCTGCTATAAACATGAGTGTGCATACATCACTGTGGGATAATGCTTTTAGTTCTTTTGGGAAGATACCAAAAAGGGGAATAGCTGGGTCAAATGGAGCCTCTAGTCTTATTCTTTTTAGGAACCTCTGCACTGATTTTCCACAGTGGCCATATCTGTCCACACTCTCACCCACAGTGGAGAAGGGTTCCTTTCTCCCCGCAGCCCCACCAGCATTTGTCATTGATTGATTTCTTGACGACAGCCACTTTTTTGGAGTGAGAACGGATCTCAGTGTTGTTTTAATTTGAATTTCTCAGATGACCAGTGATGAGGAACACGTTTTCATATATTTATTCACCACTTTTATTTGTTCATCTGTGAAGTGTCTGTTCATTTCATGTGCCCATTTGTGGACTGTGTCTTTGATTTGGGGATCTGATTTTCTTGAGTGCTTTGTAAGTTCTAAATATTAGTCCTTTGAGGAACAACCAGCAAAACATAT